TGAAGGAAGCCCAAAGGGAATTCCCACCAGCCCTCCTAGAGCCAGCCTCAACAGGAAGGTAACTACAGTGGGTTGATTGAGGAATGACCTCCTCTGCGGGCGTCGGCCCCATCCCTGCTTGGAAAGCAACCACCTGGCTGTGTAGCACACTAGGCAGCCACCAACTGAGTTGTGTGCAGGGTCCTGGAGGCAGCATGTTAAGGAAAGAAAGGAGCTATAGCGCACTTCAGGGCTGTCCCTGGGGGTGGGGAGAATTGAATACCTGCTCTGTGGGAATGGGGTGATCTACTCCAGAAGAGAGAAGAGGCCAAGGTCAAAGAAAGTTATCTTTAAATCTCTGAAGTTCTATGTAGGAAAGTTTTAACTTAACCTACCTGACTCCAAAAGGGAGAATAATGTCCAAGTACATGGAAGATTCTGGAAGACAAATTCTGATACGATATGAGGAAGATCTTTCCAGCTATCCGTAATATCCAATAATAGACCAGGCTCACCTGACATAGGAAGCATTTATGTGGAACTATTTGGGACAGATGTCTGTGAGGAATGTAAGCATGGTGCCATTCTGATGTCCTCTGAGGTCCTTTCCACCTGGATGTTCTGGGTCAAGGCAGATCTTTTGCCACCATGCCTAGCCACAGGGCCCTCTGCCTAACCAGTTGGCAGTGATGTAGATGGGAAGCAGGGAATTGCAAAAGACACCAGCAAGTGCAAGACGAGGTGGGGCACAAGGAGGAGAGAAAGAAGGGAGAAGGGAGGGACAGAGATGGGGAGGAAGTTCTCACGAGTGACTACAGACCAGTGTGAGCCATTATGCTGGGTAGTCCTGTGTGTTCCTCCTCCTCAGCTCTCTGACATGCGTACAGTGGCCAGTTTACAAATTAGGAGCCTGCCCAGATGACACAGATGCTCTAGGCCAAGGCTGGACCATAGTTCGGGCTATGTGGACTCGCCCCTCCTGGCCCCACCTGGCATCCTGCCATTATCCCCATGAGCCACATAGAGAACACACAACACCCGTCACTGTGAGACAATCTGCCTTCAGTCATCCTTGTCTCGGGGAGACTTCAACGTACCCAAGGGGAAGCACTGACCCAAGACCACATCCTGCTTTTTCACTGTATCAGACATCTAATGTCAAAGCCATCCTGCGTAGCATGGGACCAAAGACCCCCCCTCTCCCTTGCTGATGGGTCACCTGCTTCTGCCCTGTCGTCCTCCAAGGACCAGATGCCTGGCTTGTTGCTGGGTAGGAGTCTAACCACCCACCTGAACCAGTTCCTGTCCTCCAGTGGGGAGAGCTGAGAAAGTTAGTCTAGACACAACCACCTTGCTCTGTGCCTCCAGAAAATAGCAGCCTGGGGACAATATTTCTTTACGTTGCAAAGGAACCTGATAAAGATTGAGAAATACTTCCGGTATTAATTACAATAATCATCAGATTATGTGGATTAGATTATCATACACCATAGGATCAGATTAGCCTTTATCATACCTGTGAGTATGTAAGCACCAACTCCCCCCAAACGGAAGTGATAGGGGCACAAGAGACCAGATTCAAATTGTAAATTCTGAGCTAGCTCTATCTTATGCCCCCGCATCCCCCTCTGTGGTTTCTCTCATCTAGTTGTTCAACCGCCTATGTCTTTGCTGAGGAGTCTAGCCTGCCACCTGCCAACGATGAATGTTATGGTGGCCATGCTGTGGGCTTTGCCCCTGTGCTCATAGTCGATGGAAAATTGTTGATGACAGGCAAACCGATTGCTCTAAGGGGTCTGAGCTCTTACCTTCTCCTTATCTGATTGTTTACTGTAAGTAATTCATAGTGAATTTCAACATCATTTTTCCTTGGCAAACAACACTCATCTTGCCTCTCACCTGATGCCCTCTTGCTCAGGGCATAAAGATCTGGTGTCTTGAAGTGGATCATGTCAATGAGTCAAACCCAGGGTGCGGGTGTTTGTAAAATGTCCTAGTAAGAGATAGTCAGGACCACCTCTGGGTGCCTGGGATTGGAGTCGAGTGTCATGACCTTGGTCACTTTTTAAGAACTCACTCTATCAGCATTTCTGGTGAATGAGGGGAGGCAGAGGAAGGGAGCACCCTAGCCTCAGGGTCTGACTCATCCTTAACTGGCTAGCTGACACTGAGGAAGTTCCTATAATGCTCTGATCCCCAGCATCCGCATCTGTGAAAAAGGAGCATTCACATCCAGCACACAGGGAGTTTCTTCAGATTACAGGAGAGAAGTTACGTGAACACAGCCCCTCAAAGATGTCCTGGAGCAGAGCATGTGCTCCGGAGAAGGAGCTCCCTTGTCCCCCTCCTCCATGCCATGCTGGTGGCCACGGGCAATGGCACTCAATAAGTCCACCTCTGGTTTCTGTCATCAGTTCCCTGGGATTAGAGAAGAGGCCGGAGGTGGAAGTCATGGTGCTAAGACCAAAGCCACAGCTGGTCATGTTTAGACTCCTAGGAGGAACCACAGACCACCTCAACCTCTTCACATCAGGCATAGCAATGGTACAGACCTCTACTATGTGATGGGTGTCACCTTGAAGAGGAAGGAGTCCTGGTTCTGGTCATCCTGGAGGGGACAAGTAGGTCGAGTAGGGAGAGGTTGTACAGGGACAGGCACCAGTGCTATCTAAGATGGAACTTTTCTATTAACTAGAAATGTTGGACAGGGAAGCTGGCAGCCTCCAAGGCTGAGTGGCTGTGTGTATTGAAGATCTTATTGAGGGATCCATACATTTGACGGAGGCTGGTCTAGGTGGTAACTGGTCCCTGCCTATTCTTCCCAGCTAGGGAATTATGTTCTTGGTGCTCCGCATCCTTGTTCAGATGACTAGAGCACACTGCAGGACTGCAGACAGCAACTTTTAATGCAATGCTGTGTTGCATGGAGTTCTGACATCCTTTTAAGACGATTTTAAGAGACATTTAGGAGACAAACACGATTTGAAGTTAACAAGAGACTGACTAAAATACTTAAAAGAGGGACGAGATGCCCACAGTGGTCATAAAAAAGCTCGAACTTATTCCTGGGAATCTAGATAGAGCAGGCTTTAGCTGGGGCTCTCGATGTCCACGCCCACTGGTAGTTCTGGCTTGCCGGCTTCTCCAGCACCCAGTTGGTTTATGTGAAGCAGAAAGAAAACCCAGGGAGGAAACTCACCACTGCGTCTTTGGGCCCAGAGGTCCCTAGCCAGTCGGCCTTCTTTCCACTGCTCCATCTCTTACAACTGTTTCATAAATAGTAACCTGGGATTTTCATTGTACTCAGTGGAAAGAATAAAGGAAAGTACACCTACTCCATTTTCCGTGGAAGCAAAAGTTAAACGTACATTTTTCTTGTTTAACATTGCCTTATCTTTTTGCTGGTTGGCACTATTTCTTTATCTTTCCTTTATTTTATCAATGATATTTAATTTTTATTTGAAAACTATCTCTGCATCCGGGGAGCTCCTCAGGCACGGACTGGAACACATTTCAGATTCATGGCCACACTGGGCCACAGCCTCATCTCTCATAAATGCTTCCTGGCACCTGTAATGGCCACAGAATGAACCACAGCTTTCCAGAAGTCTGGTGTTTCCAGAAGATGAGATCTCTGCTCCCTGCAGCCTACCCCTGGCCTTGGATATGTCATCCATTTCTTGTTGGTTTTGTTTTGTTTTCTATTGAATAGCCAGTGGGTGTAATTGCAGATAAGCTTTGTCGTTATACCTTTTGTACCAGAAATACTCCCCCAAACTCTTGGTTCTACGGAGTCTGAACCCACTCCCTTAGTCAGTGGCAAACTGGGGCCGGGGGAGACAGAGATCCTCCCAGCTTGATGCCACCAAGCAGAGCACCCCTGTGAGCCAATGAAGGTGCAACAGAGGTTGACAGGAGCCTAACAGGCACCTGCTTCTTGCCTTTTCAAGAAAATAAGATGCTTGAAGCTGCAGCAAGGAAGCGGGTCCTTAGGATCTACTACTTTTAGACCCGGGCTGTCATACGCACTGACTGTTCAATGGAAGAAAAGGAAGTAAGAAACTGGATTAAAGTTCTGGTATTTTAATTTGCAGATATGTCCACAGGTCACCTTCTCTATGGGGCAGCTTCCCGCTGTAGTAAGGATCCTTTTGCACACCAGGAAAGACGGGCTTTTTGCATCTCTGGCCACAGGCAGAGCTATCTAGGACCAAAGAAGAATGAAGATACTCCTGCCTGCATTTGCACTTGACCTGTACATGCGGTGAACATTTTCTTCTTTCCTCACAAATGGGTCAAGGAAGGACACTTCAGGGTTTTAAAGCAAGAATGCCAGACTGGCATTCTTTAAAATCTTTAAAAAGCAGAATTACAAAATCCGGAAATAAAAAAAATCAAAACAAGCAGCCACAACGTGGGATCCCCAGTGTACTTGCTGTTGTTTGTAGAATGAGGCCAGGGGTAGAATTTGCAAACCGTTTTGAATCCAGACAAGAGCTCTGACCCAAGACCATGATTCACGTTACACTGGGCAGCAAAGCCAAATGCGTGTGCATTCTCTGTAGCACCTTAGAGAAAAGGTTGACTGCGTGGGTGAGATACGAATATATTAATTTCCTGGACACTGAGTTAACTAGGGAGAGATTAACAGGTCTGCGATATGTGAACGCTCTCCGATTTCTCCCCGTGTGATACAGAGGAGGGACTGTTTGTGGTGCTGGTATGAGGTAGCACAAATTCACTGAGAGTGGTGTTACAACGAACACAAACATCTGGCCCTGTTACTTGCTCTGGGCATTTCGGGAGAGCAGCAGGACACAGATCCCCTGGAGAAGGGCATGGTTGGAAATTAGCCTGAGCAAGTAAAGGTCTGGATCAAAGGCTAGGCACTTTCTAAAGTCAACTCCCTCCCACCCTTTGACTCTTGGTCAAGAGCTGTGCTGAGCTGGCCACGGCCTGGCTCAGGGACGCTCGTACCAGCGCAGGGAAAGGCATCAGGACTCCTCTGGCCTCTCGTAATAATGCCAACCATGGATGACATTCTAGAGCACATAGGGGAATTTGACTTTTTCCAGAAACAGACATTTTTCCTGTTAGCTCTACTCTCTGCAGCGTTCACCCCCATCTACGTGGGCATCGTCTTCCTGGGCTTCACCCCAGACCACCGCTGCCTGAGCCCCGGGGTGGCCGAGCTGAGCCGGCGATGCGGCTGGAGCCTGGCGGAGGAGCTGAACTACACGGTGCCCAGCCTGGGGGCCATGGGCGAGGCTTTCCCCAGCCAGTGCCGCGGCTATGAGGTCGACTGGAACCGGAGCGCCCTCAGCTGCGTGGACCCTCTGGCCGGCCTGGCCACCAACAGGAGCCACCTGCCTCTGGGGCCCTGTCGCCACGGCTGGGTGTACGACACGCACGGCTCGTCCATCGTGACCGAGGTAAGTGAGTGCAAGACTTGCATTAGGAAGAAGCCAATAGAGTAGCTTTCCTTAAGGAAGAAGCCAGTAAGACCCGGTTCTTACACTGTCTGGACATGCTCTTTGGACTCAGAGAATCTTATAAAATCCTAGTTTCCAACAAAAACATGCAGCCTCTTATTTGTCTGGAGTATGAGCGAAGTAGTTAAACCTCATCAAATTCTGACAATAATGATTCCAGTGCACGCAAGTTTCAGCGGTAAGAAACAAGCAAAAGCATAGCAGATTCCTGGAAATAATTCCAGGAGAAGGAAAATTTTCAAGGCTCCTCTTTTTTTCTGAAAGCCCTCCATTCTGGCCGCTGTATAACAGATGGACAGCTGAGGGCTCATGGAACTCACCGGAACATTGCCTCACTGTGATAGGATATGTTTTTCTCTTGATGGCTGTTTTTCTCTCTTTGATTTGCTCAAAACATTTGCATAAAACCTTCTGGGGCTGGAGCTTTTGTTAAGGCACTATTCCTTTATTAAAAACTTTGACATTAGCATCTAATTATGAAGACTCATCTTAATGAATATAGAGAAAACAAAACAAAACAAAACAAAAATGTGGAGACCTGCTTTTATTGGAACAAAGCAAAATGGGAGGATGCAATTATTCTAAAACTCCAGAGAAAGCCAGCTGCCTGGCTTAATTTAAAAGGGCCGCTTGGATAATGTGAAGACATCCTGTATGAACAGACTTTTAGGCAGAGGAGCTTTGCTTCAATGGTCTAATAGTTACACGAAACCATAGATCCAGGTCATAGATATAACACCGTACAATTTTAAAAGGCTATACAGCGTGGCTTAATCTCATCCCTTCAGACAGAGATGAGGAAGCTGAGGCCCAGAACTGAGAAAAATTTTGCCCAAGGCCACAGAGTGAGAGAGTTAGCAGCTCGCTCTAGAAATCAGATCTCCCCACTTCCAGGCCAGCACCTGTTCTCCCTTCAACATTGCCTCTTGTTCCAAATGAAAGCAAATATAACAGCCTACTAAGACATTCCTGCTTCCCCTACCGTTAAAGAGACAGCAAAGAGAAGCTAAACAGCCCAACTTTCTCGGGGCAGCATTTATATCCTCTTTACACACTAATTTGCTTCTGTGTATTAAAGTTAGAAAGGGAAAGTGGGGGGGGGCACTGGGTGGCTCAGTGGGTTAAGCCTCTGCCTTCCACTTGGCTCATGATCCCAGGGTCCTGGAATAGCGCCCGCATCGGGCTCCCTGCTCAGCGGGGAGTCTGCTTCTCCCTCTGCCTCTGCCCTCCCTTCTCTCTCTCTCTCTCAAATAAATAAAATCTTTTAAAAATATATATATTTAAAAAGAAAGGGAAACCTGATTTCAGCTGATTTAGCCAACTACAGAATTTGGCTTAATGATGTACTTCCAGAGGGAATGCTAAATAGATTATGGGACAAATCTTCCAGTTGTGTAAAGAAAATTCATATAAGCAAGAAACAGGTGGTTTATCACCATGCCATTCAGCCACATCAGTTCAACGCAAGGAATATTCAGTGAGTTTCCCTGGGTTGAGTTGTGTCTAACAGAATGTTGTTTTCTCTCCTGACCCGGGAAACCTTTTGCCCCTCTGCAGTTTAACCTAGTGTGTGCCAATTCCTGGATGCTGGACCTGTTTCAGTCGACTGTGAATGTAGGATTTTTTATCGGTGCTGTGGGTATCGGCTACCTAGCAGACAGGTAGGTGCCACGTGAATGTGGTGGAATTTAAGAAGTCCTGCAGGTCCGGGAAGCACTTGGATTCACTTGCCCCTGCTTGAATAGCATCCTTTCCCCAAGCACAAAGGCCACAATCTCCTGGCCTCATGTCAGTCGTCTTGACAAGTTGAGGTTTCTTCTGCTGCTTTGATCGGCACTACCGATGTGACTATTTTCCAATTCCCTGGGGCCATAGAGGAACATTTCTACCTTAGGCAGCAGTTTTTCCTTGTGGGCTAGGGTCAGAAGGGAGAGTCACAGATGACTTGATCCCTTTTGTGATTCCCAATTCATTGGCGTCGTCATAATTCCCCCATCCATGAGCCTGCAGGGCCCTGAGCTCTCCCTCCTCTGCCTGCCTCTCCTACCCCCGAAGCCAGTATAGATTCTCCCTGTGGCTCCCCCTGTCTGGTCCTTGGCATTGTAGGAGTACTGAATTGGGGCCTTGGGGCCAGATGTAGTTATAGGTGTGGAACGCAGGATATGATCTGGTAAAAGGGAAACTGGGTCCATCTACACTGACAGATGTAAATATCCACTTCCATAATGTCAGTGTCCCTGGAGAGAGATGAGAAAAGACCTCTCTGTATAGAACATATAGCAAATGGTCCTCTTAGATGGTCTGTGTCTTCAGGGAGCTAGTTTTCAGTGAGTTGTATGAATCCAGCTGTGCCTGTATGTCTTATTTATCCATCACTTTGTAATCCCAGATTCGCAGTGCTGAAAGTTCTTTATAACAGGCATCTTTACCAGGTTGATGGCCAATTAGATATTTTTAGGAGTCCTCAAAAGGGAAATGAACAGAAAAATTTGCTTTATAGTTGATACTTTAGCACTCATAATACTATTTATTGGGTGTTGTCCATGTGCCAGGCACCATGCTTAACTGTTTGGACAGTATCATTCTCTTTAATAACCAGTCACCCATGAGCTCATGATATAGAACTATAGAATAAACATATGCAGTCTAATCTGTTTAATAAATTTATATTTATATTTATTACAAAATAAATTTATATTTATTACAAAATATAAATATATATTTAATTCTGAAATAAATGCCAGATACACTTTATGCTTGTTGCCCTCCCCAACTATATCTGTGATGCAAATAAACCCAAACCCGTGAGCATTATATTAAATGTAAATCGAATATTTTCTTTGACTATGCTGTATTGTCAGGCTGGAGGAAAACTTGCAAGTGAGTTAAAGATTAATAACAATAGCTTAATCTATCCTCTCCCAGGGGCATCTGCAGTTTCATAGCCTGGGCCCCCACTGTGGCAGCAGGAGGGAGGGGGGCAGGGCAGTTGAGGCCACTGAGCCACAGGGCAGCTCCGTCCTTCACGCCACTTCTGTAACTGTCTGCTTAGTCTTCCTTTAAAGGTTCTTCCTTTGTGTGGGAGGCTTGTGAGGTAAAGAGGAAGGTCATCGGCTTTTATTTTTCTTGCCCCACAAGTGAGGTCTGTGGTTTGGAGAAGACTCTGTAAGTCAGGAGAGCTGCCGGCAAGGGACAGTCTGGAGTCTGCCTTACTCCAGTGTGTCTGTCTGGCCCGTCGGCTCCTCATCCCCCGCTCCACTCCCTTGTTCCCTGTAAGGCAGAGATACTAACACTCAGCTGGAAGTGAGCAAATAGGTGGCTGAGCTTCACAGCTGGTTAAATAAATAAGTTAATTATTCTCATCCCACTCAAGGAGTAGGAGACTGGTTATAATTCCCCACTGACAGTGCATTCCTGATTTATAATCCTCAGTCAATTATCCACCTTCTTGGATGACCTCATTATTTTGTTCCTATTGTTGAAATCTCCTATACAAAGTTGATTACTCATTATTCTTCCCCACAAAAATGATATCCAAACCTCCATTTCTTTTTCTTAAGTTGTCTGAAGTTTGGGTGGTTGTTGCCTCTTCCTTTCTGTTCTACTCAGGTATGCATGTGAGAGTGGGTAATAAGACAACAGCCAGTGGAGAAAAAGAAAAGGCAAGTTATCCTTGTATACTTGATGCCTATTTCTGGACAATATTCAGATCTTATACAAGGGTACAAGAATCTCATGGAAACTCATTTTATGCTACAGATTAAACCAACATTAAATAAAATAGATTGTCTTCTATGATACTTTTGAAAAATATGAACCAGCGGTTGATTAAGGTAGCTTTTAGAAGAAAACCAGGAGGATATTATGAAAATGTTGTAAATAAGGATACGGCAGTTTACACCATGTCAGCTTTCTGAAGGTCAGTTTGCAAATGGACTGGAGGAAGGAAGGGTGGGCATGTGTTAGAGAATTTGAAAATAAACCTTTTATAATATGTCTAATTTATGTCATCATTCAAACCTCCTAAAGAATGTTTTTTAGTATCACCTGACACAAAAAAAGTAATCTCTCACCAATTCCAGATTTGTTACTCCACTGATCAGTAATTATAAGCTCTGTATTTAGTGGCATGCTTATAAAAGTTCAATGACTGGCTTTCTGGGGGATAAAGCCTTGATGTATAGCATTTGCTGATTTCCATGGTGTACATACTCCCACCGTGGTCGTTTCAAGCTACCAAAAAATGAGGTCACTGAACACAGAGTTGGCTAGAAATACGCACCATTTTACAGTATTTCCACTGTACAGATGCAAAGGACACAAGTAAATAATCTCACGAGCGCCGACAATCATCAAACATGGTAAAATAATTAGGAAACGGTTTTTGCATATTTATTACACTTGTTTTTAATATAATTTACTTAAGTGTATGATGTAATTTTTAACAATGACTGTGTTCAACAATTAGCTCGAAAATTTTCTGAAAGCCTAATAATCAGCTCTCAAGAGCCAGCACCCACAGTCTATATTTCATGATGGAACTAGATCAGAGCAGAATCAAAGTCCCAGTGGGTCATCGTCAAACTTACCCAACTATGTGAAACTTTCCAGAACAAGCTCCCTACTACCAACTATGTGCCAAGGCACCGTATTGGGCATCCAGATGTGTTATACGTCATTTAGGATCAAAACAGCCTTTTTAAAACGATTTTCTTATCCCCAATTTGCAGATGAGGAAACTCAGTGAAATGAAAGTAGTGCTTCCCAATATTAATGTGCATATAAACCACCTGGATTTTGTTAGAACTCTGATTCTGATCCAGTGGGGCCTAGAGTGAGCCCTGCGTTTCTAACCACTCCCAGGTGATGCTGATGAGGCCTGGGCCACATTGAGTAGTAAGCAGTTAATGGATTTATGAAGTTAACAGTACTGGAGTCCACCCCCCTCTGCTGTTTTAGCTCTTTATTTTTCATTTAATCACTTATGTGATTCTGTTGCAGGGAGAAGTCTCAAACCACTATCCTAGATCTCCCAAACTTCTTCCAGCCATGCCATATTTTTGTAATAACACTATGTCCTTATTTGGAACATATCCCCCACTGAAGTTTTTTTGCATCAGAGCTTTGATTTTCTGAAGGTTTCCATGCTCTGAGTTTCCAATGGTAAATATACTATCTTATCAGCTGCAGGATTTTATCCATCTACAGGAGCAGGACTACTATGGTATGCCCAAGTCAACTTTGGAAGCTAGAGAGCTATCCCCTGAGCAAATGTTTATAAACTCCTCGGGGGTAAAGAAAGGGATTTGGTGGGAGAATATGGGAAGAAAGGCGAAAATACTTTGTTGAGATGTGACTTTAGAAGACTTTGAATAAAAGGCCAAGGAGGTAGGGGTGTCTGGGTGACTCAGTCAGTTAAGCATCCAACTCTTGGTTTCGACTCAGGTCATGTTCTCAGGGTCGTGAGATGGAGTCCCACATTGGGCTCTGTGCTCAGCACAGAGTCTGCTTGCCCCTCTCCCTCTGCTCCTCTCCCCACTTGCTCTCTCTCTCTCTCTCTTTCTCTCTCTCTCTAAAAAAATGGCCAAGGAGGCAGATATTTACGGTGGGGAACCATCAACTGAGAATTAAGAACTGAATAGCCAGAGGCACCTGGGTGGCTCAGTTGGTTAAGCGACTGCCTTCGGCTCAGGTCATGATCCCGAAGTCCCAGGATCAAGTCCTGCATCGGGCTCCCTGCTCAGCAGGGAGTCTGCTTCTCCCTCTGACACTCCCCGCTCTCACGCTCTCTCGCTCTCAAATAAATAAATAAATAAATAATCTTAAAAAAAAAAAAATGAATAGCCAAAAGAGGGTTTTAAGAATTTTATCAGTTTACATTAATTACTCATGAGACTGCTTGATCTCTAAATTTCAGATTTAAAACATTCACATCCCAAATAATTGTTAATGATGTTGCAGATTATTTTTACATGGTCAGTTAATATTGAAATCGACACTAGAACACAGATGCCTACAAGCAGAATGGCTGATAAAAAATATTCATCCACCATCAAATGTGCAAAGTGAATGACATAAAGCGCTCGTGACTCTTCAGTTTGAAGTAGATATGAAAAGATTAAATAAAACACTGCTTTCTATGAAGAATCTTTAAAATATCCATTAACAGCCAATTAGGGTGTCTCTTAGAACAAAACAAGGGTGGACATGATGACATGATGACAATATGAACGAGTTGTCCCAAGTCAACTTTCAGAGAGCCTGCCTTACAAACAGAAGGCAGGAAATGGGGGAGACCAAGTGTCTAGCTCTTTACGTGTAATATCTCACTTAATCCTCTTGTCAACTGGGTCAGATAGGTCTTTACCAGATGAGGAAATTGAGAAAGGTTGAGTAACCGGCCTACATTACACTAAGTGATAAAGCCACAATTCAACCAGGTCTCTAAGTTTTCGCCTCCTCTGTGTCCTGGGACACTCTCCAGGTCCCTCAGCTGATGAAACCCAAGTCCCTCAGACCAAAGATGTGGAAGCTATCTTGCTGGGGTACTCCAGGACAAAGATGCCCCACCCCGACCCCACAGCTGACACCAGAGACCTTTTCCATGGAGACATGCAAATAACACAAAGTCCAAAAGCAGTGTTGAAAATGGATGGGGGAGTACATTAAACACTGAATTTTCTTTTTCCTAAAGCAAAAACTCTTGGGTGGGCAGTTGGTTGAGACTGTTAGTGCAAAGGCCCCCGCTTCTACGATGATGGAAGACCCAGACGGGCCCATAGGGCATTCAGCACTGGGTGGCCTGGAAGAATCAGCCCCTGCCTGAATACCCTCCACAGTGCAGGACTGAGAAGGTTCTCTAGCCCTGGGGTGAATGGGCTCATTGTGCATAGAATTTTCACAGAATGCCCTGAGGGAAAGCGCTGAAGCAAACTAACCTGAAGTCAGGGATTCTCTTGGTGGGCGTCAATCCGAGCCTCCTGAGTTTGCATAATTCAGAGCTAACCTCCCCTTAAGATTTCCGTAGCTCCCATGCCATTTTCTACAGCCTTCATGAATCTAATCTAATTCTATGTTCTCTCTTTTTTTCTCTCCTTGCAGGTTTGGTCGTAAGCTCTGCCTCTTGGTGACGATCCTCATAAATGCTGCATCTGGAGTTCTCATGGCCATTTCCCCAAACTATACATGGGTGTTAATTTTCCGCTTGATCCAGGGGCTGGTCAGCAAGGCAGGCTGGTTAATAGGCTACATCCTGAGTAAGAATTGCTCGTGGCTACAGCTGTGAGAACAAAGTCATGCTGCTGCCAAAATCCTCAGGAGACAGAAGGGGGCTGTGCCAAAAAATGGACCCAGCTTCAAGAAAATGTTGAGAGATTTTTTTTTTCTATATCAGAAGGATTTCTAAAATCTTTTCAGTCCACTCCTTCTGTATTCTTCCCCTAAAGAAAACAATGAAGACAGAAATGAGGGTAAACATCAAGCCATCCAGATTTAATATAACTTCTTAGGAAAAAGTTTTCTGTACCCTGGGGTGTTACACACAGAGAAAATCTAACCTACCAAGCCTACACATGGAAAATTATGTGGTGACAGATACGTCAGACTTATAAGGGACTTTACTGCTTTGCATAAATGGATTCTAGGAAATCTCTTGTTATCCTCAATGTATATACATGGAAAGGGAGAACGTGAGCACTGTGGAGAGTCTAAGTTCCCCAGCCACTTGTCTGACGAGGAGTATCTTTCCATCCCACTCACTAGCAGCCAGAGTTACGCAGAAGATCCATGAAGTATAGGAGAATATTTGAATCCTAACAGCATAGCATCTTTAAAGCCATATTAAGAAAAATTAGCATCCTAATTAGATCTTGGGAATGAACTCCATCTTTCTTTTCCCTTGGCAACAGTCAAATAGCATCCAATGAAAGGAAATGGTTGTTTTGAAATTGAAACCATCACCATCATAAAACCCTGGTTACCCATGAGAGCTAGAATATGTGTGCTTAAAATTGTACCTGGTAAAGTTAATTTGCAACTCAGAAGAAAGATGCTGGATGCTATTATGTGCTGTCCTGGTAGACATTTAATCTATATGTGGGCAGCAAAGTAATTTATTAATGTACTGTTATTCAATCAGTAATTTGGTTTTTAGAACACATGATATGTAGAAATATGTATAATTTAATTGTATAAATTTAAATTTCAGCCTTCTGCCCATTAATTTCTTCTCCAGTCCCTCTGACTGTCCTTGAGGTACATCTTGCTGCCTGACCTCTTTCTGCCTCATGACCCCCAGACCCCATCCATGACCCCAACCACTTCAAAATATTTCTATTTATTGAGCACTTACAGACTTTTGCTTAACTTTGTTTTAAATACTTTTTGATCATTTGCAGTAATATATAGAAGTATCTTTTGAGGGCATTTCTATATGGTTTATAAATAGTTGAAGTCTTTAACATGATTACTAAACATTTAAAGCCAAAGGTCTGTGGCTCATGGAATAGCTGGAGTTTAAATTCTAGTATGTGTGTGATGTAGAAATGACTATCCCCTAAATCCATGTACTACAGACTCCACACATCTGTCAAGATGCAGTCATGGAATGGGAGAAAGCTGATTATTCTACCACATGCAGTGGTGTGCCGATAACCTGGCTTTTAGAAAACAAAAAACCCTGATTTTTGGTGTTGTCTGATTTCTAAATTGCAAATACTCCCACCATGACTGACTTTAAGATACCAATGGGTTTAATAACCAGCTTGCAAAATTCCTGGAAATTTAAAAATCAGTTCTTGCAAGCCAGTACTAGTTGACCAATCATATGGAAACCCACTAAACCCACTACCAGGTTTCCAAGCCATTTACACACATTATCAGGTTTGCCAAGAAAATATTTAACTCATATAAGAGAACGAGTTGTATTGAGATGTTCATTTACATAAAAACCACCTACAGTCTCAAGTCAATCTTTGATCCATTTATTCAGGACTTAAATTACCATTGCCTTACTACTCTAGATCAAAATTTTGCAAATAAAAACAACTGGATTTTTTTTAAAGGCAAAAACAATTAAAAAAAATAAAAACAACTTTGGATTGCTTCAAAAAATTTTTTGCATGTATCTGAAATCCAGTTGCATTTGCCCTTGAAATTATTCTCTAAATCACACATTTTGCTCACACTGGCAGGCCTCTCACCTCACCCAATGTGGAATTACAAGATCTTAGATTAATTAATGTGACAGCAATAATTATAACAAAATAGGCCCCAAGTAACGTTTAAAATTTTTCAGAAAGCTATTTAAAAAACTTCTAGAATTTGGCCTCTTTTTTGAGGTTGGCATGCTCGTTTCCCCGAAATTGGACAACCAAGTCATTGTCCTACCGACTTGCATTGACCATTTGGGTTCTCTCTGCAGTTACAGAATTTGTCGGGCTGAGCTATCGGAGAACGGTGGGTGTTGTTTACCAAGTGGCCTTCACCGCTGGGCTCCTGGCGTTGGCTGGGGTGGCCTATGTGCTTCCTCACTGGAGGTGGCTACAGCTCACTGCTACTCTGCCCAACATCTGCTTCTTGCTCTATTACTGGTAAGTCCATTTGGAACAAAAAAAGAAAGAACTTGAACTATTTCATTTCTCTGAAAAGGCTGCCTCCCCTAATGCACACTATCCTTCCAAATTCCAACGTGTCCTTCACCCTTTCCTTTCATGAAAAGTCCAGGTCCATGTTTCAGGATTAAAAAAACAAAACAAAAACAAAAAAATACCGTGAGCTTCAATCTGTCTTCCTCTCTAGAAATCAAATGTCCTTTTACTTTGGGCTTAAGGGTTTTTAGATTTATGTCTTTTCACATTATCTATGTGGTGTTTATTTTATTTTTTTTAAGATTTATTGATTCATTTTTGAGAGAGAGAGAGGCCACATGAGGTGGGGGGGGCAGAGGGAGAAGGAGAGAGAGAATCTCAAGCAGACTCCTTGCTTAGCTCAGAGCCCAACGAGGGGCTGGATCGCATGACCCTAAGGTCACCACCTGAGCCAAAATCGAGAGTCGGACCCTCAACCCACTGAGCCACTCAGGCGCCCCAATTTATGTGTTGTTTAAATTAACTTCTGGTGACTGTGGTGCCCTTGGCAGAGATTGACAATATTAGTATTCTTATTCTCTCCCTGCTCAGAGGAGACTTTAGTGTAAGAGAAGATGGAGTGTAGCTCTGTCACCACTTCCCCATGTCCCTGCCCAAGGCAGACATCTCTAATCAATCCCATCAGTCCTCTTCCCAGATCAGGCCAATAGGACACCCCAGACAGACCATGCAAATCAGAGTCTCCAGGGCATGCGAAATGTTTGTCACACCTGCCGAGGGAACCATGGAAGCAGTGGAAACAGCAGAAACTATCAGAAATCCCTAATGTGAGGTTACCCGAAATAAAGCAAGAGGGATGCTGAGTTATCAAGCAAACCCCTCTCCCATGCAACAAGCCACTTTCTGGATGTATCCACTTGTTCTTCCCATAGTCGTCTTGTCTAAGATTTAAGCATCTCAACCCTTCCCAGGAAGCCTGTCTCTCCTCCAGAAGCTGGTCAAACTCTGAGACTAACCCTAAGCCCCCTCCCATATCCATTCTTCCTCTTTTATGTCTCTGAAGCCATACCTGCAATAAACTCTTCCTGGTTTCTTCAACATTTGTTCTGCCATCCTCCAGCCCAAGTTTCATTTCTAAAATCCAGTTCCACCGTGTTCCTCTCCTGCCTCAAAATCTTTCAACAGTTTTGTTTCCCTGATGCTTTAGCACAACAGAAAAGACACACCTATTATCCAAGTTCTGACCACCTCTGGAGCCCTCCTCCTTGCCATTTTTACTCAATAGAATCAAATTTAATTTACTTACAAATCTATAACCTCCATGATGCAACCACCAACATTAAAAGATCACTGGTGATATAGAGTAGAAAACAGGTGTTTGGGGGGCAAGAGTGGGGATAAAGAGATTAGGCAAGGAACTATTGCCATAATCCTTGCAAGAGAAGACAGGGCCTGAAATAAGACAAGTGAAGGAAACTGTAAACACATTGCATCAGGTAGCAATGACAGAGGTTGGTGGAGACTGAATGTGAAGGTTTAGAGAGAAGAGGTGCCTCGTGGGTGGAGCAGAGGTTTGTGTGTATGTGCTGGGGGCACCGTTCAGAGATAAGGAACACAGGAGGAGGTTTGAAAGGTGGGATGATGAGGTGAGCGTGGGACATGCCGAAGTTGGAGATTCAGAAAGGACATGAACGTGCGCATAGCCAGGCGGGGTTGAACGTAAGGATCAGGAATTCAAGTAAAATTCCCGTCTTTGTTGTAGCTACGGGATGGAGGCAATCACTCAGAGAAAATGAGCAGAGTCAGGAGAGGAAGGAAATGGGGTAGATCACAAGAAAACACCAAATCCTGAAAAGGCAAGCCGAGGATGAGGAGCCAGGACAGAAGAAGAGAGAGGGGCTGCCATGATTAGAAGGGAGGAGCTATGGGGGCAGAGGGGATGTGGCAGTCACCGGAGGAGGGACTCTGTGCAGGCTGGCCTTGATCAGCCTGCCCAGGCGGGGCCGCTGTCCCCTGCCCCGTGGCATTACACACACATCTCTGTAACCCTCACATCTTACTGCTTGTTGAGATCAGCTGTTCACTTGACACTGAGAGACTTGTCCGTCTGTCCCAGTAGGCTGTCAGCTGTTTGAGGGCAGGTAACACTGTTAATGGCTAACTCCTACTTCATCATCAAGCAAGCCACTTTACTATAGAACCCAAAGCTCATGTTCCAGAGACTTCTCATTGAGCCAGAATTTACATTCCCGGCAAGTGTACCCAGGGCATCCAATTCTGCACTTAGAGCTTCAAAAAACTAATTTCTATTCTCCCGGGTAATTCTTGAACTATCTGGATATGCCTCTGAGAGTCCATCCAGACTTTCCGCCTGTAGGCTAGCCATTTATGGTTCCTGTTTTCTCTGACCTGGTTCCCAAGTCCTTCACCTTCTTGGCCCTTCAGCTCATGCAACACCTGGCTGAACTGACCCTGCTTCCTGAGGTGTGGGTGACGGGGCTGAACCTATGCACCAAATGTGATCTAGAAAAATCGCCCTATGGTGTCATAGCAGAAGGGATGCGCTCTGTGAGCTGTGGATTGATTATGGCTGAGCTCACCACATTTCCATTCTTAATGTCAAATCTTAATCAGTTGTCATTGATTCCTCTCTCCATTGCACTCCCACAAACTTCCGTCCCGAGTTCCTTTAAGCCCCACCTCTCAGAGCAACCTTCTCTCCCAGAGTGATGGCCCACATGACTCTAGGCCAGAGCTCCCACCAGGCCAGCCCTGCTACCTCCGTCCTGCCAGTCCCTCTTCCTCCCATCGACCCTGAGCCAGCCGCTCCAAGTGGTCTCCAAACACAGATCCAAGTGGCCGGAGTCCTGCTCAAGGAGCTCCAGGGGCTCCCTGTGTCCGCCCAGATCCACCAGCTTGCCTCAAATTCTTACCTCCTTCTTTGAGAAATCAGCTCTCAGAATAATACACATAAAGTTCTTGCTTTCCCCCATGACGGAACCGCATCCTGCCACCAGCACTCCTGCAGCCCGGCTGTCAGCTCTCAGCACATGCCTAGCCCCAGCCAACCTGCTTCTCGTCCCTCTAGCACAGGGCTGGCTGGATATTCAGCTGACCCCTGCTTTGCAGAGTCCCACTGGGAACTCTCTGAAGAGGGGACCTGCAAGTTTCCTGCACAAGGCTGAATAAAAGTCAGCGGATGAAGGAGGAAAAACCCACATACCACAACCCCTCCCCTCGGAGCAGGGAGCCCAAGGCGGGGCTTGATCCCAGGAGCCCGGGATCATGAGCTGAGCTGAAGGCAGATGCCCAACTGACTGAGCCGCCCAGGTGCCCCATGCAATATAGTATTATTAAGTATAGTCACCATGCTCTATATTATATCCTCAGGATTTATTTATTTTGTAACTGGAAGTTTGTGCCTTTTGACCCCTTCACCCATTCTGTCCACCTCCTCCCCCACCAATCTGTTCCCTGTGTCTATGAGCTTTGTTTGTTTTAGGTTCCACATATAAGTGAGATCATATGGTATTTGTCTTTCTCTGACTTATTTCACTTAGCATAATACTTTCTAGGCCCACCCATGTTGTCACAGATGATAAAACGTCATTCTTTTATATGGCTGAATAATATTCCATTATACACACACACACACACACACACACACACACCCTTAGGTTGTTTCCATGACTTGGCTCTTGTAGATAATGCTGCAAGAAACATAGGGGTGTGTATATCTTTTTGAATTAGTATTTCTCTTTCCTTCTAATAAATACCCAGAAGTGGAATGGCTGGATCATAGGGTAGTTCTATTTTTAATCTTTTGAGGACCCTCCACATCATTTCCCACAGTGGCTGCACCAGTTTGCATTCCCTTTCCCTACACCCTGGTCAGCATGTTATTTCTTATCTTGTTGATTCTAGCCTTCCCAACAGATGTGAAGTGACATCTCATTGTGGCTTCAATTTGTGTTTCCCTGGTGATGAGTGATGTTGAGCATCTTTTCACGTACCTATTGGCCATCTGAATGTCTTTTTTGGGAAAATGTATATTAAGATTCTCTGCCCATTTTTAAATCAGTTTTTTTTTTCAGTTGAGTTGTATGAGTTCTTTGTATATTTTGGGCATTCGTCCCTCACCTGATATATGATTTGTAAATATTTTCTCCCATCCAGTAGGCTGCTTTCTCATTTTGTTGATTTCTTTTGCTGGGCAGCCCCTGCACAATTTTTTCTCCTTTGTAGATCCAACTGAACTTCACTGTGTAAGATCCCTCGCAGAAATTTGATTATGACCACTGGGGAAGGAAACTCAGGAAGATGCCCCCATCCCATACTGAACAGCACTGATAACATTGTGCTATACCCTAGGTGCATACCTGAGTCTCCAAGGTGGCTGATCTCCCAGAACAAAAGTGCTAAAGCCATGGGAGTCATTAAGTACATCGCAAAGAAAAATGGAAAATCTCTGCCGGCCTCCCTTCAGGTAAGCAAGCAGCTGAATTATCAGATCAGGGAACAGGAGGATCTGGGAAAGCCATGCATTCTCAATAGGGAGCGCAGACAGGGCTCATATGTAATAGGATATTTCTGTCGTACTAGGATTCATGGTCCCTGGTAAAGAAAATTCTAAATCATTCAAAAACTTAAAACTAAAGGAAACCAAAAATCATTTAAAGGCAAACGAGGAGCTTCTATCGTGTGCAACCCAAGGCTGTGGGGGGCACTGGTACCCAGGTACCAGATGTTTTCCTTCCTCGGGTGTCCATCTGCATGCTCAGGGAGGGGGCTTCTCCCTAGAGGGAAGAGTCTTCAGACACAAATCATTTCTTAGAATTTTAAACATTTTGGATAGAAAATTGTCCCAAAACATTGTGAGCAACCTCCTGTCTTTTAAAATGAAACACAACACGGGGGTGTCCATTTTCTCTGCATTTCATGGTTTGCCTTTGGTAGACCTCATCACCTTTAGCTGAAGCCTTTTGATCCGACAGGGGATGGAAAAGCAAAAATCAAGCTGATTAGAAAACTCTGTCAAAATAAGAGTAATCGTATCTGTGCCAAGATCTAAGATAGGTTACCTGTAAGCATTTATGGTTTACATGACTTTCGAGTGAGCATTTGGGGACTCGGAAGGCTTTTTTTTTTTTCACTTCCTCTCCGGTTTCTGGGTGGTTGGGATAGATCCCCTTTTCCACAGATAACCAGCATAGCCCTGATTCTTAAGTTTCAGATCCTTTCAGAAATTGGTAAGGGACTAAAGCACACTCGAGTCACAGTCTGGCCAAAGTGCAGAGTTCATTCACATGAGAGCGGTGAGTCTGCAGGAGTTTCTTCCCCTGCTCCTCGGGCTTGCAGACACCCTCCTGTGTGGCTGTAGGAAGAAGTGGTTTTTGCAAAGGTTCTGCTTCCTGAGCCCTGGAGATTGAATCTCAACTCGCACCACCTACTGTTTTCTTCTAGCGCAGGGCTTCCCAAACGTTAATTAATTCCTGTGCCCAGGATGCCCCTGGGGACCTTGCCGAAATGCAGATTCCAGTTCAACGTGTCTGGACAGGGTCCCCGGGTCTTTCATTTGAACAAGCTCCAGGCAATACCGAGCTGCTCCAAGTGCCAAGGTCCCGGAGCAGAGCCTCCTGAGTGATGGGCCGCACCTGGTCCGGCAGGGAGCACGCCCGGTGCCCTCAAGCCCGCAGGGGCCCTGGGCTGGGCCTTCTTCTGCCCCCCTGTGCTTGACCTCCAGTGCCGCTGGACATAAGCCCATGAGTGACCTAACTCCCCCTAGCCCAGCTTCCCCTTCTGTGAAAGGGGATGAAAAAAATGGAACCGAACTTCCCGGATCTCCAAGGTTAAATGAGCTAATAAGTGTGAAAGGCTCATTAGAAGCCCTCAGCAGGTGTCAGGTACTGTCAGGATTCCCTGTTCTTATGTCGGGATTCCCTGTCTTACCTGGGGACACCATCTTTCACCACACAAAGCTGTTCCTCCTGTTTCCATTCCTAGAGCCTCAGACCTGAAGAGGAAGTTGATGAGAAGCTGAATCCTTCATTTCTTGACTTGGTCAGAACCCCTCAGATAAGGAAACACACTTTGATCTTGATGTACAATTGGTAAGGAATGTTTTTCACTTTAAAATCCCTCCACTTTTTTTTTTTTTTATCCCCGTCATCCACATTAGGGGAGGGACCAAGACAGCCCTGTCACAGCCTAGCTCCAGGATAAGTATGGACAGTGGGCAGCAAGGGGACTCATTTAGAGCCGTGTTTTCTGATACCATTTTTTCGGGCTGGTGTTTGAAGTCAGCCTACAGTCTCAAAGCATAGATAAGTATGTCCTCAACCCTGGCATTGCCTTAGAACATCCTGCGAGATCATAAAATAACAACGCCAGAACCCCCACCCTGGCCCCAGAAAATACTGATGGAATTGGCCCAGGGAAAGTCTAGGCACCAATATTTTAACATTCTCCAGGTAAGTTTGATATATAGCCCAACCTGAGAACTACCAGTTCTATACCTATGATGAGTATAGATCTCTCCTTATTGTACAGGACTAGCAAGGGAAGGATCTTTTCCCTTTCTTGTCTATTGGAGAAAGAAAGAAACTTATGAAGGAGAATAAACCACAAGGAATAATCCACTGGCTCCACAGTCCAGTGGCTGACGCACGATTGTTTCCACGGTCTGCAGGCTGCTCCTGGAGCTGTGAGCCGTTCACCCTGCACCAAGCCTTCCTTAGTGCAGCTCACTTTCCTTTCAGGGTGTCCCAGGGTTCACGCCAGCCACACGAAGATTTGGAATCACGGACAGAAGCAAGGCTCCTCAGGAACTCATTTAGCAACCTTGACAATACTACCTATAAAATACAGCCAGGAAATTTGGCTTTGTACCCTTCTTTTCTGAATAGTTGTGACTGTTGCCAAGCATCCTCTTATTTGCCATTGCAGATAACTTCTGGTCAACAAAACACAACCAAAAAACATCATCAAAATGTTGTCTATATTGTGTCAGAAGAGAAATCAGCAAGAAGGGAGGCTGTACCCGTTTGGGGATTTGGTACCCGTTTGGGTCTCTGGTTTCCTAAAATTTGAATTAAGTAGTCAATCCTTTTGATCCCAATTCCATTAGAAGACCACAAAGAGAGAAATAATTAACAACCACTAATAACCTGATACAGTTTTACCAAATAAGTTACCCTAGAAAGACATTTCTTCCTACTTTTCAATTTGGCCAGGGAGTGCAATCCTGCTTTCTTCTCCTTTCCTGGTTCTGGGGTCACAGTCAGCCACCACCGTGGTTCAGATCATGGAAAAGCAGTAGAATGAAGGGAAAAGCAATAAGAAGATGACAAAGAAAGATGACCCACGATCAACTCTTCTTTTTCCAGAAGCCTCTCCTTTTTGATGACTTCCTTCTGGTGCTTGGCTTGACCTAAGCTTCTCCTCTTTGCTCAGGTTCACAAGCTCTGTTCTCTACCAAGGCCTCATCATGCACATGGGCCTTGCAGGGAGCAATATCTACTTGGATTTCTTCTACTCTGCCCTGGTGGAATTCCCAGCTGCCCTCATCATCATCCTCACCATTGACCGTATAGGTCGTCGGTTTCCATGGGCTGCATCAAATCTCGTGGCAGGAGCGGCCTGCCTCGCCTCGGTTTTCATCCCTGAGGGTAAGTGTCGAGCCACGCTGGGGTCTTGTCTTCCAAGGCTGTGTGAAGAGGGGATGTCACAACCTTCTGATAGTAAAACGATGTAATTTATCATCCAAGTCAATTTGGAAAGAATGAACACAGTATCTGGGACCTTCCTGAGCAAACCTATATGGCCACCCTGTCTTTAAGAACAATTGTACCCAAGGGTTGTCTGCTTTAATATAATCACACCCGACTGTTTTCTAATGTACTATAACAAGAGACTAACAGGACACATGCCACAGGCCATGGATTTGGCCCAGAACAGAGAGCATGGGCTTTGGGGTAGAGCAGGCCCAGGCTTGAAGTCTTATTCCAGCATTTTCCAGATACTATTTAGGCAAATCCCTTGAGCTCCCTGCATCATCCTGCAGAACAAATAAGAAAGCTTAGGTAAATGCAACCAATGCACAATTATTCAGTTCCTTTCTTTCCTTTTCAAATGCTTTCTCAATGAGGAGGAGAAAAACCTGTACAACAGAATCCTATTGGCAACATGAAGCTTTCTTTGAACCCTTTAGTCATTAGCAGTTATTTAAAATATGCCCATATTTTGCTATTTCTTTTGGATGGCCTGTATAAACTAGAGTTGGCCCAGCTTTGTAAACTGGTACAATCCTGTTGTCATTAATGATTGAGTTCTAAAGAGTGTGTTAGAATCGCGCATAAGGTTAAAACTAACAAACATGGGAAATTTTGCTCTGAAGTCTTGAGTTTAGAGAAGAAGAATGTTGCATTCTCATCCCATTCTGGAATGTGGACTTTCCCCTCTGGAGCACTGTGCAGACCAGGGAGTATGTGCAACGTAAGTGGTGCGTCTTTGCCCCACAGATCTCCAGTGGCTAAGAGTCACAGTCGCATGCTTGGGTAGAATGGGGATTACAATGGCCTATGAAATGGTTTGCCTGGTCAATGCAGAGCTGTACCCCACATTCATCAGGTGAGCACGTTTTCCTCAGCATGGAGAGGGTGGATGGGACATTTGCTTATGGGCTAGAACCAGCAGAGGGCACTTCCTTTTCAAAACATGGGGCAAGAAAAACCAAAAACCAAAACAAACCACAGGACAAGAGAGGATAAGAACGTTTAAAGGCAGTAGCCAGACCACATCTCACAGTTACGGGCTGGGGTGAAATACAGTCACTGTATAGTGAGAACAGAAGACACTGATTACAAGAGAGGGATGACCAAATAGCCATGGGACAGAGTGATCAGAAACAGTATGAACAGGCGGTGCCTTGGTGGCTCAGTCGGTTAGGTGTCTGCCTTCTTCTGCTCAGGTCATGATCCCCTGGTCCTGGGATCTAGTCCTGCGTCGGGCTCCTTGCTTGGCGGGGACCCTGCTTCTCCCTCTCCCTCTGGCCTTCCCTCCCCCCAGCTCATTCTGTCTCTTTCTCTCTCTAACTCACCCTCTCTCAAATACATAAATAAATAAATAAATAAATAAATAAATAATAAAGGAAACAGTACGAACAAGACCATGGAACAGTGCAGGGAAGCCAGATGACCAAAGTAAAAAGTGAAAATTGCCCCCCCCATTAAAAATCCTCCAAAAAGCTAATATAAAACAAGCACAACAAGAATATGAGTGGAATTATGACTCATACACCATTTGTGTGTGTTGAAAACAACATGAACACCGTTTTTTTCAGTTTGCAGACATTTCAGTGACTCGGGGAAGGATTAATTTGGGTGGGGTAGGGGATAAGTACTGTACCGTGAGAAGCTGGAAGTTAAAGCAGTTCCCTGCATTTCAGGAATCTTGGTGTCCTTGTCTGCTCCTCCATGTGTGACATCGGTGGTATCATCACGCCGTTCCTGGTCTACCGGCTCACCAACGTCTGGCATGAGCTTCCGCTGGTGGTTTTTGGTGAGAAACCCTCAGACATACCTTTGAACAAAAACCTATTTTTCTAGGGACCTCCTTTGTTACATCTCAAAATAAGTATCATGCCTACTGGCAACTACCGAATGCAGCTAGTAATTAGTACTACTCTCAGTGTTAGTAATACCAGCATAAGTAATACTATTAGTAGCTGCTAAGACCCAAGTGTGGGAGCCACTAGGACTCCTGGCCTCAGCAGTACAAAGTTCAAGAAGGAGTGAGTGGAAAGCCGTTTGCCTGAAGAACACCCCTAACTCTCTCCTCACCGATCTCCACCCCCTCCTTGGGTCTCTTTGTCACAGAGCTTACTCTTTCTGCCTCCTTGATGGCTGAACGTGGGAAAATACAAAACTTTTCACTTCATTACTTCAAAGAAAGGCAGTTAAAATGTTGCAAAGAGCATTTCAAAACTCAGGGGAAACAAAGACCATCATTAAGGAAATGCATTCGCGTCATGGCGCACTTGTGTTGGTATCAGGCACCCCTTCCCCAGATCCCTTGGGCAATTAGATTTAAGGAGGATTGGTACAGCCCTTCCCTCCAACCCTGAAGTAATGTACCAATGCAGAGCCCGCCCCTCCCCCCACTGCCCAACCTGCAGCATGGAAGGTGACAGGGACAAATCTAACTATCAGCAATTAATACACAGAGGCCAATGTTGAACATGACTACTATAGACTGTGAAAGGGGTCTGGGAATCGTGGACATTCCCATTCATTTGTGTCCATTCCTTTCCCCACAGCTGTGGACGATGGGACAGATCCGCTCCTGTGTGCCACACAGAGGGGTGCAGAGGGGTGACCAGATTCATGCATACAGCATTCGCCTCCTCGTGCTAGCCAGAAGGCCTCAACGCACCCAGCTCAGTCTTCTTTTAGACCCACTGGGAGCTGCTTTTAATTTGACAAAAATATAGGTTTTCCCCATGGGCCTACGACCCTCACTTAATTTGAGGGGAGGGAGGACAAGACGCTCTGCACACTGAGGGCACACCCAGATGGCTCTTCTCCTAATGCCGTGCATTGTCACACACGAGTACCTCTGCTCATTCCTCTTCTCAAGGGATTTGTGAGGGGGAGATTTTCCACTTCTGTAGATGGGCCAGCAAATGTTCCACACTGCCAGTAAAACTCACCCTCAAAACAGACCCAATGAATTTCTCTATGCTGTGACTTAGTAATAGTGAGATGGCCAAAGTTGATAGAACACGAGCTCTTTATCCCGGCAGAAGCATGATTTGGCAACAGGGTGGCTGGTACCACTTCGGGGACCCCGGCCATCTTCCTCTCCCAACACTGGCTGAGGGACCTGCGCAGAGCCTTCTTTCCATCTTGGGGAAATACCACAACATCCTCTGGACTCCTTCCTTCCAAGGGGGAAGGTGGAGACACCTCAGCCTTGGTCATTTCCTTAGGTGGGCAGTGAGTGATCGATGGGTCAGTGAGACATTTCTGGGTGGAGAACAGAGATTTCGTGTTTCTCTAAGGACCTTTTAACAATGCAATGCCAGGTCCAGATCTAGACGAGCCTCTGTGGACCCTCCCTCAGGGATTCACCTTCCCCTGGGAAAGATCAAGGATTTTATTTTATTTTATTTTATTTTATTAAATTTTATTATGTTATGTTAGTCACCATACAGCACATCATTAGTTTTCGATGTAGTGATCCACGATCCATTGTTTTCATATAACACCCAGCACTCCATGCAGTACGTGCCCTCCTTAATGCCCATCACCGGGCTAACCAATCCCCCCTCCTCCCTCCCCTCTAAAACGCTGTTTGTTTCTCAGAGTCCATAATCTCTCATGGTTCATCTCTCCCTCCAATTCTCCGCCCCCTCATTTTTCCCTTCCTTCTCCTAATGTCCTCCATGCTATTCCTTATGTTCCACAACATAGTGAAACCATATGATAATTGACTTTCTCTGCTTCACTTATTTCACTTAGCATAATCTCCTCCAGTCCCATCCATGTTGATAGAAAAGTTGGGTATTCATCCTTTCTGATGGCTGAGTAATATTCCATTGTATATATGGACCACATCTTTATCCATTCATCTGTTGAAGGGCATCTCGGCTCTTTCCACAGTTTGGCTATTGCGGACATTGCTGCTATGAACATTGGGGTGCATATGGCCCTTCTTTTCACTACATCTGTGTCTTTTGGGTAAACACCCAGTAGAGCAATTGCTGGGTCATAGGGTAGCTCTATTTTCAACCTTTTGAGGAACCTCCATACTGTTTTCCAAAGTACCTGTACCAACTTGCATTCCCACCAACAGTGTAAGAGGGTTCCCCTTTCTCCACAACCTCTCCAACATTTGTTGTTTCTTTCCCTGTCCATTTTTGCCATTCTAACTGGTGTAAGGTGGTATCTCAATGTGGTTTTGATTTGAATTTCCCTGATGGCTAATGATGATGAACATTTTTTCATGTGTCTGTTAGCCATTTGTATGTCTTCTTCAGGGAAGTGTCTTTTCATATCTTCTGCCCACTTTTTGACTTGATTATTTGTTTTTTGGGTGTTGCGTTTGAGAAGTTCTTTATAGATCTTGGATACCAGTCCTTTATCTGTAGTGTCATTTGCAAATATCTTCTCCCATTCTGTGGGTTGCCTCTTTGTTTTGTTGACTGTTTCCTTTGCTGTGCAGAAGCTTTTTATCTTGAAGATCAAGGATTTTAATTGCATTTCACCATTTCAAGTAAACTCAAAGACAACTCCCACTGTTATCGATGCTTGTAGTTCCATCTTCTTTTCTCACCAATCTGAGTAGCTAGCAGGAAACAAAACAAATACTTTTCCATTTTTACTCATTTCCCTTTCTTTTGCCCACAATAATGGTGTGCTGATTGTGGTCTTGAAATAGCCAACAAGCATGTGAGGTGGGAATATCACCCCACTTTATGGCCAAGAGTCTGGAACTGAACTTCCCAGGGCTCTGAGACCAGTGAGTGGGGGCTCAGAACCGGATCCCAGGCACCCAGAGCTATAACCAGCGTCCTGAACCACTAAGCTCTGTGGCCTCGATCTCTGTCATTTTGTAAAGATGTAAAAACAGATGGCCAGTGTGCATTTTTTTGGAACTCCAAAACCAGTGAAGACCCGACATCTACCTCCTGCATTCGATTATCGCAAAACATAAAACGTAACCTTAAAATTCCAAAAAGGAAATGGGAATTTAAAGACACATAAACACTCTAATGTTTACTATGACTCCCCAGCATGTGCAAAAAATTACAGCTGGAGACAAAGGAAAAAGGAACAAAAGGAATTTCTCAAACACCTGAATTAGAACTAAAAGTGTAGGCCTGGCTATACTTTTTAAATGCTGTGATGCAATGATATATGATACACTACTTCCGGGTGCTAGTCATGTTCCAAGTTTCTGACTCATTCTCATTACTAAGTGCTTTATATTGGCAGGGTTATGTTCTTCCTTTCCTAAGAGTTGATTTTTCTTTTTCAGAGTTATTTTCTAACTCCAATGTATCTTAATATTATGGCAATGTTCTCTAGCCTAGAATAACCTTGACTCAAAATGTTGAGTATTTCATCTCCCTATAAGGAATTGTAATCCAATGGAGTTTGGAATCAGCAAAATATTTATAGGACAGTCAGAGATAGCAAAGAAATCTGTAAGTATAGAAAAATCACAAAAAATAATTTTTTTTTTAAGAAGTAAGGGGAGTTCTGATTATAAAGCCCTCGTGTTTGAGTTCCTAATGTAATTTGCATCTGTTTGGCTTCCAGCGGTGGTTGGCTTGGTTGCTGGGGGACTGGTGTTGCTGCTCCCGGAGACCAAAGGGAAGGCTTTACCTGAGACTATTGACGAAGCTGAAAACATGCAGAGGTAGGAAGCTGAAATTCCTCCATACAGGTCTGCGCCAATTCTGTAGCCAGTTGGAAAAAACATGAGGTTGAATTTATACCTCATACCATTCACTGAGATCAAGTCACACAAAATCAAAGACTAGAAAATACAAAGAAACAGTAAAATAATGAACATACCATAGAAGAATACCCTTATACTTTCATAGTGGGGAAGGTCTCTCTGTAAGTACGGCAAAAAAATCCAGGACCAATTTTTAAAAAGATCAGTAAGTTTGCCTTTATACAAATAAAGAATTCTATTGAAAAACAAACATAAGCTTAAAAAAGTAATAACAACAAATGTGGAGAAAATATTTACTCCTCTACAAGGGGCTAATTTTCTTAATATCTAAGGAGCTCTAACAAATTCATAAGAGGAACCACACAAAAGAAAAAATGGGTTAAGGACTTGAACACGTAATTCAGTGAAAGGAAAATAAAAAGAGCTCTTAAAGATATGAAAATATGCTCATTTCCTACATAGTGAGAGAAGTTCCAATGAACACTGTACTACTCACAACTTAGATTGTTGAAGATCAAGCCACTTGGTAACATTGTGTTGGGGAAGAATGTAGGTAAACAGCATCCTATGTTGCCGATGGGAGTACACATCTGAAATCTCTATGATGGCAATATGACAAGAGGATCAAAAATGGCTATTTATTTTTATTTTTTTAAAATATTTTACTTTATTTATTTGAGAGAGAGAGAAAGAGCACGAGCGGGGGAAGGGGCAGAAGGAGAGGGAGAAGCAGGTTGCCCGCTGAGCAGGGAGCCCGGTGCAGGGCTTGATCCCAGGACCCTGGGATCATGACCTGAGCCAAAGGCAGACGCTTAACCGACTGGGCCACCCAGATGTCCCTGTGTATTTCTTTTTACCTAGCAATTCCACACTTCCAGGAATTTACACATACAAAATGACACATGTACAGGATTACCATTTAGGACAACTTTTTATGTAACAAAAGATTGGAAACAACCTAAATACCCATGGATTGGGAGACCAGTTATATAAATTATGGTATGTCAGTCAATAAAATACCATACAGCCATTAAAAAGAATGAGGCAGCTTTATACACATTGATAAGGAAATTCCTCTAAGATACATTACTAATTTAAAAAAGGGGGACGCCTGAGTGGCTCAGTCTGTTAAGCATCCGACTCTTGATCTCAGTTCAGGTCTTGATCTTGGGGTCATGAGTTCAAGCCCCACGTTGGGCTCCATGCTGGGTATGGAGCCTACTTTATAAATAAATAAATAAATTTTAAAAAAGGAAAATATAGAAAGTATATATTCTACCATTTCTATAAAAGGAATGAAAAAAATATATGCATGTTAAATGTAAATACATATACATAAATAAATGTAAATATATATACATAAACATATATCTCTGGAAGAATATGCAAGAACCAGAACATTGGCTGTTTGTGGAATGAGAAGCTTTGGAACACAGGTGGGATGGATTTCCAGTGCATACCTCTTTCTGCTTTCCGAATTTTGGACCATATAAACCTATTCAAAAATTAAACCTAAGAAAGTCTAATGAAGAGAAACATAGGACACACTGTCCACAAGTTTCTTTATGCAGTATGCTTAGATGTTTTTATTCATTTTATTTATACTCCAGTTCCGGCCTACTGACACCATGAGCTGAACTGAATTTTATCCGTTCTACACATTGTTCCCATTTAACATACTCAGCACCCGAGCAGATGTGGCTACAGAAGAACTGCCATGGTCTAAGGCTTGTCCTAGAGCTTGGAGCTCAGCATTACAAGAGGCCTTTGAGCCAGAGGTCACACACTGGCAACCCACAGGATATCAGGGCCTCAAGGGCTTTGCTTGACCCACGTGGTATTTTTAAAGTGGGAAATTCCACATAAACTGGATTTCCAGGATCTCTTAAAGAAAAAAAAATTCAGAGGATTTGGTAACCTGGCGCAGGCATTTCCTCTTGTTGCTGGCTTGCAGGAGCTGAGAGGGGGCTGAGGGTTTGGAAGGGCATGTCTGCTGGAGGAGGTCACAGTGCCACATTCCCCACTACCTCGTGCCTAGCACATTTGTTTTTCTGCCTGGTGCATGCAGACATTTGAGCTTGAGATCCTTGATCTAGACCAACTGCCCCCCAGTACCCCTATCTCAGGGAAGCTTCCCATGCACACGAGCCTCCCCTTGAAGACAGACTGTACCCCATTTACTGCCGTCTCCCCAGGACTCAGCACAGTACCTGGCACGTACAGACCAGGTGCTCCCCATATAGCTGTGGACTAAATGCTGAGTTCCTTCTACAGCATTGCTAATCCTGGGCTCTCCAGACTTGTGCAGCCAGCTCCTGTGCTGGGAAGGTGGTAAGGTGTGGTGGGCAGGGCATGAGCTGTAGAGTCTGATAGGCCTGGTCTTGACATTTCCCATCATGCAGCCTTAACTCTTCTAAGCCTTGGTTTCTTCATCTGTAAATGGGGACAATGGTTTCTACTCACTGGATTTTTGTAATGAGATACATGCATGGGAAGTGCCTGGCACTTTGGAAATGTCCAATAGCCACCGTATTATCCATAGAAGTTTTCATAGCTGCTTTGTAAAACAGGTAACTAGACAACTGAGTGGAAATCAAATTTTAAAATATATTCTGAATGGTTTTGAGATAGGGAAGCGCAGCTCCGTGATAGACACATAAACGTGTACTTGTAAGAGGCTTCCCATCAGGCTGGTTCATCAGGCAAAGCAAAGATTATTCCTGTTGTTGGTTTATATGCCTTCTCTTCATGTGATCCACAAACACTTCTCTGAAGATTTGCGCTTTTCTGTTTTCTGTATTCCATAACCCAGCTCACCTTTCAAAGATGGAAGACAGATCTGTGTGAGGCTCGCGGCTGCAGAGGAGAGTGGGGAGGTGAACCCAAGGCTGGGCTGCTAAAGGGCGCCCCTGCAGGCAAAGATGAGCAGGGGCGGCCCGCGGGACACAGAGGTGTCCCTCAGGAGAGCTGACCCAGGCCCAGCGTCCCCCGACGCTGAGGGAGAGGCACCAAAACAGGATTCCTCCCCCCGCCCACGTCCTCCGGCTCCCCAGCACCCACAGCCCGTCCTAGTTACACAGAGATCCCTGGGCATTTCCTGATGTACCCCTTATTTCACCCTTCCGCCTGTTTCCTTGTCTGTAAGATTGGGTAACAGTAGCTGACATTCACTCAGAGCTTTCAGCTAGTGCTTCCGAAGCCCCGCGCCCGAGCTGCCCCATTTAATCCTGGCGACAACCCTGCGGGACAGGTACTGTCATTATTAGCCCCGTTGACAGCTGAAAAAAATGAAGGCAGCAAAGATCAAAGATTCACCCAGGAGGCCAGTGAGTGGCAAAGCCAGTCCTGGAAGCCAGGTTCCAGGGGGCTGAGTTCACAAAGCGGGGCGGGGGTGAGTGCAGGGAGGGGCCTGGGCCGCGCTGGGGTTCTTAGCGGTCAGTCAGCGCAGCTGCTGCTGCTCCTGCGATGGCTGCTGTTGTTACTATTGCTGCTGCTGCTGCTGTTGCTGCGGTTACTGTTGCTGCTGTCATTGTTCCTGTTGTTGCCGCTGTTGTTACTGTTGCTGCTGCTATTGTTGCTGTTGTTACTATTACTGCTGTTGTGGTTGCTATTGTTGCTACTGTTGCTGCTGCTGTTGTTATTGCTGCTGTTGTTGCTGTGGTTACTACTGTTGCTGCTGTTATTGTGGTTACTATTGTTGCTGCTGCTGTTGCTGCTGTTGTTACTATTATTGCTGCTGCTGCTGTTGCTGGGGTTACTATTGTTGCTGTTGCTATCCTTGCTGCTGTTGCTGCTGCTATTGTTGCTGCTGTTGCTGCTATCGTTGCTGTTGTTGCTGCTGTTACTATTACTGCTGCTCTTGTTGCTATTGTTGCTACTGTTGCTGGGGTTACTACTGTTGCTACTGTTGTTGTGGTTACTATTGTTGTTGCTACTGCTATTGTTACTGTTGTTACTCTTATTGCTGCTGCTGCTGTTGCTGCAGTTACTATTGTTGCTGCTGTCATTGTTGCTATTGTTGCTGTTGTTGCTGCTGTTACTATTACTGCTGCTGTTGTTGCTATTGTTGCTACTGTTGCTGCTGCTATTATTACTGCTGTTGTTGCTGTGGTTACTACTCTTGCTGCTGTTGCTGCGGTTACTGTTGCTGCTGCTGTTGCTGTTGCTGCTGTTGTTACTATTGCTGCTGCTGCTGCTGTAGCTGTGGTTACTGTTGCTGCTGCTGCTGTTGCTGCTGTTATTACTATTGCTGCTACTGCTGCTGTTGCTGCGGTTACTGTTGTTGCTGCTGTTGCTGTTGCTGTGGTTACTGTTGTTGCTGCTGTCATTGTTCCTGTTGTTGCCACTGTTGTTACTGTTGCTGCTGCTATTGTTGCTGTTGTTACTACTACTGCTGTTGTTGTTGCTATTGTTGCTACTGTTGCTGCTGCTGTTGTTATTGCTGCTGTTGTTGCTGTGGTTACTACTGTTGCTGCTGTTATTGTGGTTACTATTGTTGCTGCTGCTGTTGCTGCTATTGTTGCTGTTGTTGCTGCTGTTACTGTTACTGCTGCTGTTATTGCTACTGTTGCTGCTGTTGTTGCTGGGGTTACTATTGTTGCTATTGTTGTGGTTACTATTGTTGTTGCTACTGCTATTGTTACTGTTGTTACTCTTATTGCTGCTGCTGCTGCTGCTGTTATTGCTGCTGTTGTTGCTGTGGTTACTACTGTTGCTGCTATTGTTGTGGTTACTATTGTTGCTGCTGCTGTTGTTACTGTTGTTACTATTATTGCTGCTGCTGCTGTTGCTGCAGTTACTATTGTTGCTGCTGTCATTGTTGCTATTGTTGCTCTTGTTGCTGCTGTTACTATTACCGCTGCTGTTGTTGCTATTGTTGCTACTGTTGCTGCTGCTGTTATTGCTGCTGTTGTTGCTGTGGTTACTACTGTTGCTGCTGCTGTTATTGCTGCTGTTGTTGCTGTGGTTACTACTGTTGCTGTTGTTGTGGTTACTATTGTTGCTGCTGCTGTTGTTACTGTTGTTACTATTATTGCTGCTGCTGTTGCAATGGTTACTATTGTTGCTGCTGTCATTGTTCCTGTTGTTATTGCTATTATTGCTGTTGTTGCTGCTGTTGTTACTATTACTGCTGCTGTTGCTATTATTGCTACTGTTGCTGCTGCTGTTGTTATTGCTGCTGTTTTTGCTGTGGTTACTACTGTTGTTGCTGCTATTGTAACTATTACTGCTGCTGCTGGTGTTGCTGTGGTTACTATTGTTGCTGCTGCTGCTGCTGTTACTATTACTGCTGCTCTTATTGCTATTGTTGCTACTGTGGTTACTGTCATTGCTCCTCCTGCTGTTGCTATGGTTACCATTATTGCTGTTGTTGCTATTGTTGCTGTTGTTGCTATTGTTGCTGTTGTTGCTATTGTTGTTACTGTTGCTGCTGCTGTTGTTGTTGCTGTGGTTACTATGGTTGCTGCTGCTGCTGTTGTTGCTGCTACTGTTGCTGTTGTTGGTGTTGTTGTTGCGGTTGTTACTATTACTGCTGCTGCTGTTGCTATCGTTGTTACTGTTGCTGCTGCTGTTGTTGCTGGGGTTACTATGGTTGCTGTTGCTATTGTTATTGTTGTTGCTGCTGTTGTTACTATTGTTGCTGCTGCTGGTGTTTCTGTTGTTACTGTTGTTGATGCTATGGTTGCTGTGGTTACTGTTGTTGCTGCTGTGGTTGTTGTTATTACTATTACTGCTGCCATTGTTCCTGTTGCTGCTGTTACTATTGTTGCTGCTGTTGTTATTGCTGTGGTTACTGTTGTTGCTGCTACTGTTGTTACTATTATTGCTGCTGTTGTTGTTGCCGTGGTTACTATTGTTGCTGCTGTCATTGTTCCTATTGTTGCTGCTGTTGTTGCTATTGCTGCTCTTGTTACTGCTGCTGCAGCTGTGGTTCCTGTAGTTGTCACTATTGTTGTTGCTGTGGTTCCTGGTGTTATTATTATTGTTGCTATTGTTTTTCCTGTTGTTTCTGTGGCTACTGTTGTTGCTGCTGTTGTTGCCATTGTTACTATTGCTGCTGCTGTTGTTGCTGTTGTTACTATTATTGCTGTTGGTGTTATTCCTGTTGTTGCTGGTGTTCCTATTGCTATTGTTGTTTCTGTTGTTGCTGCTGCTGCTTTTGCTGTTACTGTTGTTGGCATAGAGACCCTGGGAGCACCACCGACTTCCTTGGGCCCCTACATCTGGAGGCTGAGAGAACCCCAGCACTGCCAGGGGATTCGGGTGGGCTTCTGCTATACTCCCTGTCTCAGACTGGCCCAGAAGCTGAGGCAGGACTAAACACCCCGAGGTGAGGGAAATTTTGTGAGGAGCTCGGGGACACGGGGCAGCCCCACTCCAGATTTCAATATTATTATCAGGCAAAGCATGTCCAAAGGGCATGTCTGGGAACAGCAGGATGAAGAAAGCAGAATTTCTATCATGAGGATCAGCAACTTCCCAGTATTCATAAAGATAAGATGATTGAGAAAATTTGCAATTTGATTTTTCACTTGCCCAGCTGTTGAAAAATAAATAAGCATTGGTAAGAATAATTTCTAAAATTATATTTACAAGAACTAATGACAATGGTGTCTAGATTTTGCAATCATCATTTTTAATCAATATAAGATTAAATGTCGTCATTACCCACATCCTCTTATTACATAGAAAAGTGATCACCTTAAATAAGGAACATAGGCAAGTCCCATTCCCAGAAGAGCATTTTTGGAACTGTTCCATCACATAAGTTATTCACCAAGTTCTGTCAATTTTCTTTTTAGGAATCACCACTCAGAACACACTGCAAGACTGTGCCTGGTCAAAGCTTATATCCATTCGTTGTTCCATTTATTTCTTACCCACTTGATTTTGGTTTTCAGCCTCCTCACAATTTCTTTATCCCCTCTCCATGTTTTTTATTACTGCAGACCAAGAAAAAATAGAGAAAAGATGATTTACCTCCAAGTCAAGAAACTAGACATTCCCTTAAACTAAGAAGAGACCACTATTGCCACGGCCTTGCTGTGATGATACAAGTCCAGACCAGAGATTCCTCCATTCACCACAAAGCCCATGCAACTCAACCTCACTCCCCTTTGAACCCTACAAACTTAGACCTATAGCCGAATAGAGTTTGTTGTCCTACTATATTAAAATCTTCCCATGGGACCAGATCCCACCAAAGCCCACCAGCTCACTCCATTCCCAGAATTCCTAGGACAATGCTATTGGTGTGTTGGGAATTGTTTTCATCTTTGTATTTCTTTATTTTATTCCTTTTTCCACAATGATATCAAACCAAAACACATAGGGGAATTGTGGGCCAGGGAAACAAAATAGAAAAGATCTGAAAAACAATTAAGTGGGAGCAGAGACCCTGTTTTCTTAAAGATATACTACAGTTAAATAATATCAAGTTGTCTGGAATGTATGTCAGGAACTTTAAATTGGCTTTTCAGTGTCATGTGTGAAAAATTTTTTAAATACCTTCATTATCATCTGGGTTAGACTTTAAAGGAACTTAAAATAAAAGAATCAGAACTACAACCTGATTAATCACTAAATCTCCCCTATTTAGACTGAATGAGTACAAATGTGTACTTTTTACAAAAAATCTTGAGACGAGTTTGATAAAAAGCAGTATTGAAGTTGACTTAATAAACCAACATGGGAAAATTTCACTCCAACAAAAATTGCTCTAAATTTGTGGTTTAAAAAATTATATTAATATTTTACCATGGTAATATAGTAAATAAAAGCTTTTAGAAGCTGAATACCTCAAGGCCTATAATGAAAAACAAAAGTTCCTTACCCCATTCCACTTCTATCAATGTCTCTGGAATAATTTTCAACTATTTTAGCTGGATTTTTTTTCCCTTATGATTTATCTTTATATCGCTGAATAACTTGGTTTAAATGGACACCGCTTGACTTTTTCATTACCTATTGACTTTTTGATATAAAATATAAAGATTTAGCTCTCTTCAACTCTCTCCTCATCCCAAACCACAACTTCTCTCTTCTCTTCAGACTCCATGTTATCACATTTTTATTCAATCAAAAGTTGACATTCACATTGTTATGGCTGCGTAACTATTTTTAACAGCTGAGCCACATAGTGTACTATGATCATGCTTTTACTCTTTCACAGCATTTTGTTTCTCTTGAGCCTTGGTTCTTATTGCTTGTTTTCTATATATGCACCATCAATTTTCCCCCAACTCTCTGATAAAACAAGAAGTCTCTCAGTGCATTCAAACACAGCTCCTTCTTCCAGGGAGCCCTCCCACCTGGAGCCTGCAGCATTCCTGGTCCAGTGTAGCCTGGCTGATATTAAGGCCTACCGCACAGTCGTTGCCCTGGGCTCTCCTTTCTCCACCTTCCTGAGCATTCTGGTGCCTCTTTCTTGTGAGGGATTCCCTGTCTCATAGGTCAGAAGTCTTCCTTATTCTTGGCTTTCTCCCTCATCTTGAAGAAGCACATCTCCTAGTATTGTCCTGAGAAAGAGCACATACTTGTCCTTCTAAATTCTCTTCTGTAACATCAGGAGTTACAACTACACATTCCTGGCCCTTTGCCACCCGGTTTCTTGTAAGGCTCTACCAATGGGTAGCCAATTGGCCAGATAAGAAGATAGGAGCAAGAGAGACATTTCTTTCCCCTATATCATGAAGGTGTCTTGGGCAGCGGCAGTAAAAGTTGCTGGCAACCTGAACCAAAGGAATGTGGGTTCCTGGTCACTGCTCGATGGCATGGGTGCACTTTTAACAGCAGTAGCAGCAGCAACATCAATGCCTCATTGACTTCATGGCAAGAACAGGATCTCAGGCCCCAGCCAGGAGCAATTGCTATTTCCTGGTCTTATGTAAACACCTTCTTCTTTCTCTAGCATACCTTTCTCCCTTTTGCTCAACAGTTTTGTAAATGAGTGGCTGTATTAAATTGCCTTTCTCTGAAATACCTATAGTGGTTTCTGTTTTGCTGATTCAACATGAATTAATATTAACATGAATTCATACTTGGGACCACACCTAGGGAATAGAGGCCCAATAGGAAAATGTGCAGTTTGTTAAACAATGTGATTGGGATTGAACACACTGATGACGTTATTGCCAGGGGTAAGTGAGATACTAACAGTTATCTCTCTGTGACATTCGGTCACAAAACAGTTACTTAAAATTGAGTAATAAAAGCTGTGACTACCTGAAATGAAGTATCTATTTAAAGCAAGACTTTGGGAGGCCAAAGGACTGTTGAATTTGATCACCACAGTGGAAACTATGGCCACAGAATCTCTGGGGTAGAGCTCATTGCTTCTGACTCCAGTGGAGAAATTACAAAAAGAACATAAAAACTTTAGGCTTTCAAGTGTCAGGTTGAGGCATTGCCAGAGAATTGAGAGCTCCTTATGATGGCCCTAAAAGACCTTGAGAGTTTTGTAGAAGCAAGGCTGATACCACTGAAAAACAGGCTCAAAATTTGAACCTATGGGTTAAGAATTACATCATAGATTAAACTCACAGCCTAGCCGTGCCTCTGAAATTTAAATTACAGAATGGATGGGTAGGAGGGGACTCCTGAGAAATGAAATGGAGACTGTAAGTGGACTCAAATGAATCTGAAAATCTTGAACCCCAAATCCCCTGAACCTCCTTGGCCAAAAGAAGCAGCCCTTCTCTTCCTTTTTGTAAAACAAAAACAAAAACACTTTCCCTTGTTTGAAGAGTTTTAATGACCTCATCTTACACAGTTACTTAAGAGGGAATGATAAGACTCCTTAAGACCCACCCCCCGTATTGTACCCAGGTATGCTTAGAGTAGATTCCAGCATGTCTCAAGGGGAGAAATAAGAAGTTTGGGGAAGAGACACCTTACACATGAAAAGAATTTCAAGATTTTGTAACATATCTGCATAAATCTGGGGAGTAATTTAGGAATGAATTGTAATGATATGAGGCCCAGGAGAATGAAACAATGTTGAATCAAGTCCAATTTGTCGAGATCAGTGCTCTAATCTAAGATTCCAGATTTAATGTACCAGGTGAAACACCTAGCATTAGTTCCAGTAGTTTGCAGACCAGAAACATTAGAAAAGATATAAGGGAGTATTTCCATAATTTGAAATAAGGATGACTTCTTAGGCAAAAATAAAATCTAAGAGACATAAAGTGAAAGATTGATCAATGTGACTACACAACACAAGACTAAACTAAATGATGCTAGCTGTGTAACTCTCTCACACACACACACGCACACACACACACACACACCCCAAAAGCAAATTCAATAAATGAGTGACAGATTTGGGAAAATATTTGCAATATATATAAAATTTCCAAAAGGTTAATATCCAAAAGAAATAAAGAGCTACTAAAAATCAATAAGAAAAAGATAGTAAAAGAGAAAAAATAATGGTCTAAGAATACAAATAGTTATTTACAGAAGTAACATAAAAATGGTTGATTAAGTTATAAAGAAAAATGTGCAGCCTCGTTGTTAACCAGGGAAATACAAATAACAATAAAATATTTGCACTCAGATTAATCAATAAAATTAATAAAGTCAATATCAAGTTGGATGTGGGTGTGAAGAAACTGATACATTGCTGGCAGGAGTATTGATTGATACATTCTTTAGGAAGGCAATTTGATAGTATCCATAAATATCAGAAATATATGTCTTTGAGAAATACAAATGTGCACACAGAAGCATCAGAGAGATACTTGTTTCATCATTTCTTGATGACAGTGAAAATTGGAAATAACCAGAGTCTTTAAATATGAGGAATGCTTAAATAAATTATGGTGTATCTACTCATCAGTTAAAAAGGACTGAAAACAATTTATAGCTACTCCATAGAAAGACCCCCACAACCAAGGACTTTTGGAATAATAATGTAGGAATAATGGATGTACAACTAACTAATGACCTAGGAGGAGGAAGTCTGGGACTGGGCGGTGCATAAGGAAAGATTTTAGATTTTTCTGTAATTCTTGCATTTTTATGTTTTCTTATGCATGTTCATGGCATATGTTCATGCCATTTTTTAAAAATAAATTATTAACTCTGGAAAACACTTTGACACTTTCTTAAAAAGCTAAATATGCAATTACCATATGACTCAGCAATCGTACTCTTAAGCATTTATCCCAGTGGTAAGAAAATATATGTCTACACAAAATCTTATACACAATTGTTCATGGCAGCTTTATGTATAATTGCCAAAATCTGGAAATAACCAAAACGCTCCTCAATGAGTAAATGGTTAAACAACCTGTGTGGTGTATCCATACCAAGGAATATGACTCAGCAAGAAAAAGGAACAAATTAAGGATACACAACTTGAGCGGATCTCAAGGGTACTATGCAGAGTGATGAAAGGTCATTCATGAAAGGAAAAGTATCTATAGAGATGGAAAATAGATTAGTTGTTGATTTACAGTAGTGGTTACATAAATCTACACATGTTATAAAATGTCAGAGAACTATACTCACATATTGTACCAATGTCAATTTCCTGGTCTCAGTAATATACTATAATTATGTAAGACGTAACCATGGGAGAAACTAAGTGAAGGGGACCCAGGACCTCTCTGTATTAACTTCTCAACTTTTTGTGAATCTATAGTTACTTCAAAATAAAGTTTTAAAAATAGATCATGAAAATTACAGTGTTTTAAAAAGTAAATGCCATGGGGGTTTAGAAGAGACCATTTCCTTATAGCAATGTTTCTTAAAGTTATTGATCAAAATGCTTTTGAAATCAGAAGAAAATTATGATTCCTCTGTCCAGCAAAACACATTACCAAAATCTGCATATACTTTCCAAGGCTTTACTCATCCCTCATTCATTTCAGAACTCTTGTCATAGACACAAGGTTCAGCCAACTATGGTCTATAGGCAAATCCAGCCTGCAGCCCATTTTTTAAGTAAAGTTTTATTGACATACAACCAAGCCCATTCATTTCTATACTGTCTGTGGCTGCTTCATAGCCATTGTAACAGAGTGAATAGTTGCCATATTCTCTGGCCCACAAATCTTAAAATATTTACTACCTGGCCCTTCATGGAGAAAGTTTGGTGACCTCTGGGTGGAACTCCACCTCTGGAAGCCAGAAGGAATATTGGAATAAAAAAATAATAAGAGCACAGAGAAGGCAGTACTATTAACACTCCAGACTCTGTGTTTCTTTTTCTGTGTGCCTGGAATTAAACCCCATTTTCTGTAGGTGGTCAGACAGGTAGTCAGATAGAAAGGTAGTGATTTGGAAGGAAGAACAGCTAACATTTATGGAGCATCTTTGTGTGTGGGTTGGGTTCAGCACTCTTGGGGACATGGCCTCTTGTGTGGATTCCA